ATAATGGATTACCCAAAAAACTTGTTTACTTGCTTTGGTATAGTAATCAACAAATGTCTGTTCAATGGCAGAAAACAAAATCAAATAGTTTTGAAGTTGGAAACGGGGTTCATCAAGGTAGTATATTGTCGCCACTTCTATTTAACTTTTACATACACAATTTTATTTTATCAATCTCAAATCTATGTATTGGATGTAATATAGGTGGCATCTTCATGAATTTGTTGGCTTACAATGATGATATGGTTCTAATTGCACCTTCTTGGTTTTCTTTTCAAAAAATAATTAGCTTTACAAATAAGGAATTTTCTTTAATAGTGTATCATTTTGGTGACGCCAAATTGTTTGTTTGTCTGAATATCAATCCCATTACCACTTGCGTTATTAAAAAATTCTTTTTTTAATAATGCTAGTGGTAATGGGAGTTTCTGTATAATGTTTGTCCAAATATCAATCCCAAAATGCCTTACGTTTCTGAAAAAAATTATATTTTTAGAATACAAATGTTACTCTATAAACATGTTCTTTAATACCAAGAAAGCTGTATGTATGGTGTTTAATCCAACTCAAAAATTATATCAAACTCCTTCAGTATTGCTACAACAAATGTAATAAAATGTTTTTTGGTTACAACAAGTATCATAGTACATCTCTCATGTTTTTAGAGCACAGATTACAATCTTTTTATAACAATTATCTTAAACTATAGATATACTTTTTGTAATCAGTTGATGGCTTGTACCTTAGTGAATAATTCCTACATTCACTTAATCAAATTTTAAAATAACATTTTTCTTTTAAAAAATAAGGAACTGGCACTTAAATTGTATATGCATGTTGTCTGAAATTTATTTTAATAATAATAATTTAATAATATAAATATGTGTTGTTTAAACAACTTTAATGTAGGCTTTGTACATATTTTTAGTGTTTTCAAGGAATTTTATTTCTATTAAAATGAAATGAAAAAAAATGGAATGTTTAATCAATAGATAATTCTGGTGAAAAAGTAAAATTTGCTTATTGCACACTATATATTATCATAGCAGCGCCAAATTTTAAAATAAATAACAGATATTACATTTGTTATATTTATTATATACAACAAAATGAAGTTAGAAGTTACCAGCTCGTAAAAAAATGATTAATGAAGTAAGAAATGACCAACTAGTAACTGAATGTTACAACAAAGTTAGAAATTATGAGTTAGTAACAAAATGTTACTATGAAGTTAGAAAATACCAGTTACTAACTATTCAATGAAGTTAGTAAACAAAGAGGTTAGTTAAATTATTAGTTAGAAACTAAACGTTACAATGAAGTTAGAAATTACCAATTAGTAACTAAATGTTACAATGAAGTTAGAAATTACCAGTTAGTGACAAAATATTCAATGAAGTTAGAAATTACCAATTAGTAACTAAATGTTACAATGAAGTTAGAAATTACCAGTTTGTAACTAAATGTTACAATGAAGTTAAAAATTACCAGTTAGTAACTAAATGTTACAATGAAGTTAGAAATTACCAGTTAGTAACTAAATGTTACAATTAAGTTAGAAATTACCAATTAGTAACTAAATGTTACAATGAAGTTAGAAATTACCAGTTTGTAACTAAATGTTACAATGAAGTTAGAAATTACCAGTTAGTAACTAAATGTTCAAATGAAGTTAGAAATTACCAGTTAGTAACTAAATGTTACAATTAAGTTAGAAATTACCAATTAGTAACTAAATGTTCAATGAAGTTAGAAATTACCAGTTAGTAACTAAATGTTCAATGAAGTTAGTAAACAAAGACGTTAGAAGTTATTAGTTCGTAACTAAAAAGTTACTAATTACTAGGTAGTAACTAAATGTTACTATGAATTTAGAAATTACTAGTTAGTAACTAAATATTCAATGAAGTTAGTAAACAAAGAGGTTAGAAGTTATTAGTAACTAAATATTACAACGAAGTTAGAAATTATTAGTAAGTAACTAAATGTTACAATGAAGTTAGAAATTACTATTTAGTAACTATATATTACAATGAAGTTAAAAATTATTGTGTTTTAAAAATGTGCTGAAAAACCCAAGTAAACTTAAACTAAAAAAATAAAAAAACCATTAACTGAAAAGAGAAATTTAGTTCAAATGTTTCACTTATAGAGTTTAGAAAAGATCCAAGTTATTAAATCCCTCTTGATTATTTAAAAGTTTGAAAGTTTTATATTTTTAATAATTATTAAGCAAATAAAACATTTTAATAATAACGGTTAAAATGATTTGAACCCATATCCAATTAAACCATCAGTCGAATTTCATATATATAACATCGATTTATCATAAGCACTCTATACTAAAGCTACTCTAAACTAGTAATTAAGATGGTTCTAAATTTAAAAATTATATTATTTTATGCTTTAATTTTTACTTTTTTTTTTAATTTGTTTTTTTATTTGTTAAAATTTTGTTGCTCTTTACAGTTTATTGTTTATTTTCAATTTTAATTTCAGTTTAGTTTGGTTTTTTCAGTACATTTTTAAAACACAAAACATGCAAAGTGATGTGGCCAAATTGTCAAAACAAATTATTATATGCCTAAATGACCATGCATGTTTCTCTGTTTAGCCAGCGCTTTTGTGCTCAAGTTTTTTCATGCTTGCCCACATGCCCACAAAAACTTTGGCAAGCGCATAAAAAAACGCTTGCCAAAAAAAAATAAAAGTGTTTTATTTTAAATTGAAACAAAACTTACTTATAAAATATTGTTGAAATATCTCTAAAAAACTTGACATTATTTCAAGTTTTAATATTATATATACATATTCATAATATATAATCACTTAAAAAGAAATAAAAAGACGAAACTTTCGCTCTTGTTACGTCAAAAAGAGCTTTATTAAGTCAAAAGACTTGGTAACTTTATTTTGTCCTAATAATGTAACAATATTGTTCTAATGTTTAAAGAAATTTTTTTTAATGAAATTTAACTCATTTTTTACAACTAACACATTGCCTAAATAACACAATTACGGAGTCTTGATTTCTCTCGCGGGCTTATCTTTTATATTATCCTTTTACCAAATGTTTAAGTTTTGTTGTTAAAAATTTATGCGATTAAACTTTTAACATAAAATAATAGTAAATTGTTAAAAGTTTATGTGAGTAAACTTCCTAAAACAAAGTTGTTATGTGTTAAAATTTAAATTTTTCTTTCCTAAAATAAAGTTGTTATGTGTTAAAATTTAAAAACATTTCATTATTGAATGAATTTGGTTTAAAACAACTGTTCATACATTGACTGACTCAAAAACAGACAGGCACAGTGGAATGTACGTGCAAGTACAAAGGGTTATGGTTTGGTTCAAAAAGGAGTAATTTATCAACTAATAAAACAGTCAAAGAGGAGTAATTTATTAACTATTAAAAAAAACCAATTGCTCTGCTTAAGTTCAAGAACATATAAATCTTTAGAAATCTGGTGATGGCAGAAATCACTATAACTAGATTAACTGTTGAATTTATTATCAGTGTGAGTACCTAATTTATTTTTAAAAACCATAATTTCAGCGGCAAATTTTTTAAAAACCAATGCAACTATTGCTATAGTTGTGGTAAAGATAACTTGATTAAGTTAACAATTTAGGTTTTAGATGGATTTTTTAGCTCTACAATTAGATTTTCTTCATTAGATATGATTGTATTTAGTCGAAAGCATAACCATATAATAAATTATTTTTTTATCTTGAAGATGGTTTAAGTACAACATATAAATCTAGAGTTATGTGTAACAACAGCAACCCGCAACAAATGTAGATCTTTATAAATTACACAATGCATATTTTCACGATAAATGTTGTTTGGAAGTTTTGTAATAAAGATTAGTTTCTTTTTAAATCAAACCCACAAGCGTTCTGATTTAGCTATATTATTATTAAATGTTTTTCCCTCGACACTTTAAAAAAAATTAATATCTTATAACATAATAAGATTAGATTCCTTGTGGATTTTATTTAGAAAAGATTTTGTTTTAAAAATAATTTTATAAACTATAACCAAATAAAATGTAATGTATAAAAAAAAGTTATAAAATATTTAAACTTTATAACAGTACTATTATAAAGTTTAAATAATAACCAATTGAGATTTAACCAATTGAAACTTTTTTCTTAACAAATTCATAATAAAAATAATTTAAAGTAACCAATTGAGACAAATCTATTTTACAATAAAAATAAATGATGATAATTACCTAATTGCCATAAAAAAATTTTTTTTAAATTCGCGTATTGCTATAGCATACCATAACTCATCAATGAGTTATGGTATTTAACAAATTTATTTTATTAACTATATTATTTATTAACAATAGCGTAAACGCATTAATATTTTTGTCAAGACTATTGTTAAAATAGTCTTTTTTTAAAACACTAACCCACAAGCAATCTATTTATATGATTTAACCATTTTTGTGTAACCCATCAAAATGTTTGTTATGTAAATTTTATAAAATGGTACATGTAATTAAAATACGTTACAAATATAAATTCTTTTATATTCCCTTTTTTTTATATTTAAATTACCTATTAAAGTGTAACAAATTATGATGTAACATAACCTTAAAAAAATCTATGTTTGAGACGTATTTTAGTTACATCTCAAATCTAGATTTAGTTACATTACGCTACGTCTTAATTGGTTACACTTTAAAAAAATAATAAAATTAATTGAGGCGTAATGTTGCGAACTTATACTTTATTATTTTTCGTGACAATGTAACCAATTGAGAAGAAGCTATTTTACAATGAAAATAAAATAAAAGATGATATTTAGCAATATTGCAATGATAATAAAATATTTACTTCATTATCAAGTTTATTTACTCAATATTTAATTAAAAATTAGAGAATGTAACCTTGTTACCAATTGTAACGGATTAAGACAAAACGTAACTTTAAAATGTTACCGGGGAACAATTTCAAACAACTTTAATTGTAAATAAAGAGTTGCTTACCCCAATACCTGTGTTGCTGGTAATGCTGACCATCAGAGAAATTTATTTTTATTACATATATTCTTTTAAAAACTGAAGGAAAAATAGAACTATACATATTAAAATATAAAACAGCTAATAACAAAATTAATTAATAAAATGTTGCTATTTTATTATTATTATCATTACTTTTTTTTACAAAGCTGTTATTTTGTATTTAACATAACTAAGATTTTTTATTTAACATTGACTTAACATATAGGCAAGCTAATTATTCCAAGTTATTTTGTATGTTCCTAAGGTTGTCTAAATAAATATTATTTCAATATATTTCAAGATCTAAATTATAAATTGTCTAATTTTTAAAGGTAAAAATGTTACCGAAATAGAATTATAAATTTCCATGTATCAAGTGAATAGAGACTAATGCTATTTAAAAAAATAATGGTGTTTTTTATTTAAAAAGTAACATTTTTGGTTGAATTGACATCATTAATTATACTATTACACAATCAAATATAAATAAAAATATACTTTTATTTATATTTGAACACTTCACCAAAGCTGGGGAAAGTTGAGGAGTTGTAACTATTTTTTTTTTTTTTTTTTTTTTTGTTATTTAATTAATTCTATGTTTATATAAGTGACAAAATTTAGTACAAGGAATTCTTAGGGAAACTGAACTTTAGAATTTTATATAACTTAAAATGTCTTATTGCTGCTAGATCTTAACTCAATGCTTACAGGTTGGTATCAAAAAAAAAGTCTTTATGAGAGTGAAATAGATATACCAAAAGCCAGGGGTGCCTGAGAGATGACTTATAAATCTAAAACTTTATATTTTTGCCTAATTGCTTACAAATGTTTACAAATCATTTTTTATGACCTGTATTCAATAATTTATTAAAATATAAAAATAATGATTGCTTTTATTGTTATTTCTCAAATTGCAATATTAAATACAAATAAAATTTTCATTTGTCTTTTAAATGTTATTTTAAAAATTAAGACATTTTTCTTGGAGTCAGCTGTTTGTCTTATAACTTGGATAAAAAATAACATACTTTTTAAGTTAAACTGAATTTTTTTTGACATTTTCTAATCAAAGTTTTCATATATAAACAAAATAAATATGCTTTTATATATGTTACATTTATAATTTTAAAGTTAATTTTTCTATTTTAAAACAAATAAAAAGAACTAAAATTTTATAGAGATTTCAGAAATAATAATGGTTTCAAATACAAATAAATTTTATATACAGAAAAACAACAATTTTTAACTAAAAATCGAAAAGATCATTTTATATGACATTTAGTTTGCAATATTAAAAAAAAAAAAATTAGTAGAAAAGATTATATATTTTGAAATCACTATAAAATTCTGGTTCTTTTGAGACCCAGGTTGATAAACTTTTGAAGAAAAAAAATCACTGATATACGGGAGCCAGTGTACAGTCAAGGGTCATGGTGGGTGACCTTTTTCAGAAATTAAATAAAACCAACAACTTTTCAGTTACTTTCAAACCAAAGTTTATCTGTTTTTTATACAGAAAACTGGAGATACCAAAAATTTACCAAAAAGTCAACACCCTAATATATATATATATATATATATATATATATATATATATATATATATATATATATATATATATATATATATATATATATATATATATATATATATATATATATATATATATATGTATGTATGTATATTTATATATATATATATATATATATATATATATATATATATATATATATATATATATATATATATATATATATATATATATATAATATATATATATATATATATATATTATATATATATATATATAAAATATATATATATATATATATATATATATACATATATATATATATATATGTATATATATATATATATATATATATATATTATATATATATATATACATATATATATATATTTATATATATATATATATTATATATATATATATATATATATATATATATATATATATATATATATATATATATATATATATATATATATATATATATATATATATATATATCGACCTTGAATATATACTTTATTGTTGAACAGTAAACTGTAAATCAAAATGAATATCATAAAATAACAATCCCAAAGAAAAGCAAATAACTCTCAAGAATTTCTCAAATGATTGTCAATTGCTGTTTTATTAAGTTGCGTTTTAAATGCTAATTTTTTACTTCACTATTTGTTGTTTCAGTAAATAGTGAAAATAAAAATAATTATTTGAAACCAATCATAATATAGGAAATTATCTCGTGATCAGCAAAATATCTCGTGGTCGGCAAAATCACAAGAGGTATTTCTCCGAAGCGGCATTGTTGACTTTTCGTGGAATGTTATTGCTATTCGTTCCACGATATAAACGTTCGGGATAGATTTATCGTGACGGTGAATTCAGGGGCGCACAGAGACTTTATGCCGAAGAATTATACAAAACCAAGAAAAAAAATATTTCTGGATTTGGTATAAATATTTTCCGACTATTACCAAGACTTCACGAACTTTTCTAGCAGCAAAGTTGGAAGTTACAACGTCGTTATTAACTTTCTTTGCAAGATCTGTTTCGATTAAAGGATAAGACAGTCGCCAAGACAATTCTGTCCCATGGTAGTTCCTAGAGTGTCCTTGACGAGAGCTAACTTGATAAAAGATATCTTGCCTTCAGCCACAGGTACTAGCAAAGTAAGAAAGATACGAAGACAGATATCTGGGGGAAATTTTCTGTCAAATTTCTTTGCATAAATGCTATTCAGAAGACCTAAGGGCCGATCATTTGTCAGTAGATGGCATTGAATAGACGAAAAATGTCGGAACTCATCAACAAACTCGTCTTCACTAAGATCAAGATACTGATAACTTATTTGTTAGTTGATGATGCCTCATAAACGTGATGCCCGGGGGAAACTGACCCGGATTCCCCACCCTCTGTGCACCCCTGGGTGAATTGTTCTGTTACTTGTCAGGATTTGAAAAGTGGTATGAATTTATAGACAGTTGTTTTATAATCTGATCTGTAAAACTAAATATTTATTAAATCTGGTCTGGTAATATTATAAGAAAAAATAACCGTTGAAAACCCTAAATCACGTACCTCGTCATTCAATTAAATCTGACTAAAGCACTGAGGCAATTTTAAATTGTTTCAGAGTTTAAAAAAATTAATATCATATTTGGAATACGTCTACTCAATGTTTTGCATTAGAGTAGAAGTATTCCAAATATGATATTAATTTTTCCGTTTCTATAGCAGACACGCTTTTTAATAGTTGTACTATTGTCAATAGAACACAATAGTACTATTGAACTAGTGGACTGCAATTAGTAGTAGTACCAAAATAAATATTAATATTTTTCAACTTGTTAAAATACATAAATAGATAGAATAAACTAAAAAAAATACAAATGAAATGACGAACATATAACCTAAAGAATTAAATTAGAAAAGAATGTTATTACCTCAAAGAAACCTTAACTCTGAGTGAAATCTTCGTAAGATGCCACGCGAATGCTTGGATGATTTCCATTTGTAATGAAAGTAAACGTACTCAAAAACAGTTTTAGGTTTATACACTAGGAATACATATGACGTAAGACTGAGGTCATGATTCACATCGGTTTGACCGCGTAGGAGTTTCTTGCCCGTCAGACTTAACAGACTACAAACCCAATAACAGCACATGTTTACTTTAAAAAATACCAATCACCTGTCACAATAAATCTATCCCGACCAAACGAAAGTTCATATTATTGAATGATTTATATTCTACGAAAAATGAAATTTTTTCCAGCGATTTTTTTTTTTTTTTTTTTTTTGGTGTAATTTATTTCGCAGTTAAAGAATGTTTACATTGTATATATACATATATCAAAATTAATGGCTGGAACAAGAAGAAGGCACAGTTTGCCTTATCACCTAGCCTGATATATTAAAAAAGTTCTACACAACCGTAACATACAAATATATAAAAACATAAATCAGAGTTAAAACAGAAAATAACTAAGAAAATTAAGAAATTTAAAATAGCAAATTTAAAATAGCAAAAAAAGAAGTGTTAAAATGCTAACAACCACTAAAATGTTTAAGAATCATTAAAACAAAAAAGTTTTGAATAAAAAAATAATATAAAGTTTCATAATTAAGTACTTTGTTCCGTTAAGTTACTTCAATTATTAACTTTTTCCCAAACCAGTTTATTTATAGCGATTCCTTAGAATTTTTTTGTGATATTGCGTTTTGGATATTTTTTTTTTTTTTTACTGTAGGAGAAAGTTACTTAAAATAAACTTTGAAAATAATATTTAATTTTAAGATCTTTTACTTTTCTATGGATTTTCATATTTACAAAAAATTTTAAAAATTTTTAAAAAGACCTACCGCATAATTTTTTTTGAATTTTTATTAGTATGTTGATAAAATAAAACTAAAAATAAATAATGCGTTAATAAAATGTTGATAAAAGTAAACTAAAAATAAATAATACGTTAATAAAATGTTGATAAAAGGAACTTTTGTAAATGCAAACGAGTTTCATAAAAAAATCCTGCGTAAATGCAATCAAGTTACAATAACCTCTATGGGGCGATTTTGGCTTAGCGCATACAGGCAAAAGTGCGCAAATAATTTTAAATATACTTATTTGTTTTTTTCACAAAATTGCAAACTTATGATTTTTTCATTCTACTTTCATGTTATAGTTCAAAAATATTATGATTCAAACTTAATCATCCTTATCTGCATAAAAAAATTAAAGCCAGGCTGTTGGGCAGCAAACAGATTATAAAAAATCTTTTATTCATACGACACAATTAGAGGCATTTTTATACAAGAGTGTTAATAATGAAGAATTAACATCTGCCGTTACTGACACAATTGTATAATTATGGTTTGTATCAAAAAAAAAAATACTAGAAAATTTTATTTTAGATGTTATGGCAGTAAAGATGTTATAACTTACTGAAGAACAAGAAATATTATAACTTACTAAAGAACAGGAAATGTTATAAGTTACTGAAGAACAAGAAATGTTATAACTTACTGAAGAACCAGATTCACCAAAGTTCTTTGGTGACAAAC